AAAAAAAAACGATAAATGTAATATGAAAAAAACTTAAAATTTTGAGTTTGAATGGAAAAAAATATATAATTTATACCTCCCAGATTTTTTTAAAAAAATAAAAATTAGATTGACAAAAATAAACACTTAAAAGATATACTATTTAAATTTTTTTAAAATTATTTATACCTCTTAAAAAGATAAAATTATGTGAAAGTGATTTGTATTTATTATTATTTTTTTACAATAAATTAGTTTTTAATATTTTTAGAAAATTTTCCCATTTCAAGCATTTTGGTACCAATATCACTTTTCCAAGCAGAATGTCCTTGTTTGGGAAAGACTAAGACAAAAAGATAGGTTAATTTAGTCAATAAACACAAAAAGATAAAATCAGTTAAAATAGTCAATACGACAAAAAGTTAATTTAGTCAATACGACAAAATATATAATGTCACATTTAAATTATAATTATTTTATTTTGTCTCTCACAACCATCACATCCAAACCAAAGAAAAATCAATATATATATATACAAACAGAGCTTATTTAACCAAATTGAATTAGCAAAAAAATCAAAAATCAAACTAAGGCGGGCTAAGAACCAATTCACTTTTCGTTTGGTGTAACTGTTTAAACAGATTATAAATTATAACTTAACAGATTATACATTATGACTTTAATCAGAAGTTGTTAATCAGTTTGGTGTAATTGTTAAATTATAGATTTAAGTTGTTGAGTAGTGTTTGTTAAAGATTGTTACTATTAGCACCTATCAAAATTCTTTGGATCTCCCATTTCTTTGGATCCCAACCCTAAACCCTAAATTTTAATAATATTTTTTTGGACACCCCACTTATTACCAAATCTACCCATATTCATAATATTTTTACAATAAAATGCACACCCACCTAATTTTTCATCCCTCTCCTTTCCTGACTCACTCAATCTTCAGAGTTTGGAGCTTTGGTCCAATATAGAATTCTTGGACCCCAATCCTTCATCACTCTCGTCGCCGTCTCGGCCGTCAACAGAGCATTCCGACGACTCTCATTTTCTCTAAACGCTCTCCGTATCGCCGAATCAGTAACCTCTCTCATCCTCTCATCATCATCTTCTTCGTTGTTTTTTGTATCTTCGTCTTCGCTGAGATCGATCGAAGATACTCCAATTTCTACAGGATTTGTATAACCGTTTGCAAGATGAGGAAAAACAAAATCATCGTCTGAATCGCCATCAGAATTCTGAATGTAGCCCAAAATAATTTGTTCACCACTGTGTAACCGAAAAAATATATTTTGTTCAGAACTGTTTTGTCGAACAATAATGATCCTGTCAGCACTGTATGTCCGAACAAAATTTGTTCAACACTATGTAACTTGAATCCATTCCAATTCACAACTTAAAATAATATGAATTAAATCTATTCAAAATACATAACTTAAATCCATTCCAATTCACTCTTTTCCATTCTAAGTTAGTTTAACAAGGAAAATTACATAACTGACTATCTGCATTAATGTTCGGAACCTATGTATTGAACGAAAGGATTATGTTCAGTACTGTATTACCGAACATAATTCTAACAGTCAACAAACTAGTATCGAACAGCTCGAACGAAACAAGAATGACCGAAAATGACCGAGAATGTTAATACAAGACAGATAAACTTATTAATGGAACGCCGGTCTCACTAGAATTGTTGTCCTCGTCCTCCATTGCTCTACACAGTGAAATAAGTGATGAAATATACGTTGTACTTGAAGCAAAACTTTCAAGTTCAATAGTGTTGATGATCGTGATGAAGATGACACATTCAGGATTTAAGATGATTATGAAAAATAATAGATTTAGGGTTTATATTAGTTGGTTATGAAAAGTAATAGGTTTAGGGTTTACAAACATGGAATACGTATAGTTGGAGTTGGAGGTGGGGGTGGGGGTGAGTGTCCAATATTATAGAGTATTAGTTTTTATTGATAGGTGGGTGTTCCATTTAATAATGTCTTTTAATGTTATTTTACTTTAGGGTATAATTGTAATAAAAAAAATTATAAAATGGGGGGTCCAAAGGATTTTGGCAGATGCTAATAGTAGCACTCTTGTTAAATAAGCTATGAAATTATTTTTTCAATTAACTTTTATTTTTTGTTATTCACTACTTGTCTATATTTCTCATTAAAAAAATAATAATAATCTATAGTCCATTTAGGTCTTTTTTATTTAAAATAAAAATAAAAATAAAAAATCTAAGAGTATAATCGTAAATTAAAATATTCATAGCAGAAGCTGATAATCAGAAGTAAGGGGTGAGCAATTTCTCAGAGTCAACTTTTTTGAGTTAAAACAAGTTAAAATTAGAAGCTGTTTGAAATAAATTTAACCAAACAGTCTAAAGTAACTTCTCCGAAACTAAAAGCTATAAATTGGCTCAAAAAAGGCCCAAACAAATAGTTTGCCACTACGAAAGGGACCGTGCCCTGGCATACCTAGGATAGTGTTTGGTAAAGTTTTAAAATTATGATTTGAGAATATAGTTGTATTTTGAATTTGTGAGTTTTGAAATTATGATTTGAGTGTGGAAAATTTGTTTAGTTATGAGTTTTGAAAAGAGTTTTAAATTGAGTTTGAATTGAGTGATGTGACATATGTTATTTGATACAAAAACTTACAACTCATAACCAAATACACAATTTAAAATCTTATTCAAAACTCATAAAAATTTTTAAAAAATTTCACATATACATTTTTTTGTAATATAAAAATAATAAGTACAAAAAAAAAATATTGTTCTGATCAATTGACCGAACAATCGATGGAACGACCGATTAGTTCTAATTTTTCTGCATTGGAAAGAATTTTCAAAAGTAAACGTATAATTAAAATTAATTTTCAAAAAAACTAAACAAACCAAACACGAAAAAAAAAAAAAAGCGGGGTGTCTCTGAATGTGAAACTATCTCAGCCCAATCGTTTGAATATTTTAAGAACTCCACCGTTTGAGCCTAGCGCTCTCTCTCTCTCTCTCTCTCCTAAACTATCTCAGCCCAATCAACACCCTTTCATCCAACGTTCGATCCGACTCGATCTTACATTCAACTCTTTTTTTCTTCTATGCCCACTCCAATCTTCCTTCGATCACATCCATCTTCATTTCATACAACGTATATACCAAACACACACTCATAGATATGTTCATATATATATATATATATAGATGAATGTTTGATTCTGTTGAAATTGTTCTACAACTCATTTCTGCCATTTCCAATTGATCGAAATCACCCAAAACAAAATTGTGCTTTTGTTGGGTATCACTTTGCTTTCATTGATTACGAAATCGCTGGTCAATTTCGAGAAATTTGGATTGAGACTTTGTCTTAATTCACTTGGCATTTTAGTTTTTTTTTTTTTTGATTGATCTATATATCAGATCTAGGATTGGCTTTATGAGAATTCTATATATCATTAATCATTAATCATAATTTATAAGAATTCTATCTCTCCAAGACCAAAAACAAAAAAAAAAGAAAAAAAAAAAAGAGAATTCTAAGTATTTTTTGGAGCTTGAAATGGCATTTGAAGTTTTGAAATCTAATTGGAGGAATTAAAACTGTCAGCGAAAAAAAAAAAAAAAAAAGAAAAAAAAAAAAAAAGGAGAATTCTAAGTATTTTTTGGAGCTTGAAATGGCATTTGAAGTTTTGAAATCTAATTGGAGGAATTAAAACTGTCAGCGAAGAAGAGGAAGCAAGAAAGAAGGGGAAAAAGAGGAAGTCTTTGGACCAAGAGGTCACTAGCCAAAGGAGGAATACTTATACTTTCTACCTAAACCTTTAGTCAATAGGAATTTTATTTTCGGTTTGATCCTAGGAAGGAGGCATGCTAGAATTAGTAATCAGATTTTGCATTATTACTAAAAATTGAGGGGAGTGTTATCCGCACTCCCTCTTTATCATTCTGCACTCCACTTTTGTTTTTATTCATCAAATTTCCAGTAAAGGCCTTCAATATACACTGTACTTTTGTTGGGTTTGTAAGCTAAGAGTACATAATTTGTCCATTTATTATATGAGCCAAGCGCAAAGTGGTCTTTTCACTATATAAATCAAAATGTGGAGTACAATAGGATTAAAAAGGAGTGTGATGACACTCTCCAAAATTAATTGTGCTTTGTTTTTTAAATTGATTAAAGTGCATATTTAGAATAGTAGATATACATTGATGCTTGTTTGGTGGTGACTACTGAATGTTATTAACATGTTCCATGGATTTATAGATCTGATGACATGGCAAATGGGCTCCTAGATACCCACATACATTCTTATTACGCATCATATGTGTTGTGGTTTGGCTGATTAAAAATTTGAAGTATACTAGTTGCTGAAGGTTCTATTAGGTATGGCCTGGTCTCCTATGTCTATGATCACCATTTTCTGCATCTATTGGAGATGAAGGACCATACATGGAAAAATATTAGTTGATTTTTTCTTTACAAGTATTCGGGACAGTTTGATGGAGATATTTAAATCCATGATAAACAGTTTGAAGCCATGGAGATAGTAGGATTGAACTTTGGTTACATTGCCTTATCATTCAATTTTTCTTAAATCGTTTGATATGAGGAAATGCTGAATAAGGGTGCCTTACTTAAATTTACATATCCAACCTCATAAAATTTGTTGTGTGGTGATTGTGCCAATCGCCAATCAATTAACCACTTGGTACTTGGTCTGGATAAATGAATTGTTTTGCCTTAATAAGCTCTGGTCAATGGAATTATTTTGATCATTTGCCTCTTTGCACTACTCAATTGTTTTGCATTACTCAACTGTTTTGCATTAGTAACCTCTGATCAAATGGTTTGTACAGAAAATGAAAATTACTTACGCTGGAGTTGAACTTATTGACTCAAAACCTGGAGATCTTCGTTGGTGCTTGGATTTTAGAGACATGGATTCCCTGCAATTATATTTCTCTCTGATGCTTATGGGGGAAAAAAATGTTAGAGCATGGGGGTTTTGTTCTGTGCCCTTTATATGGAAGAAAATCTAAAGCTTTCCAAGCCGCTTCAGGGACTTCAAACACTGCTATTATATCAAATTTGGTATGTTGGTTCTCTCTGATTTTTGTCAGTTCATAATTCAAAATTTTCCCTTTTTGAAATATATGGAAATCTTGTTTTTCCATCTAGTAATAACCTGCAAACGCCCCCCATCCCTCAAAGTGCCTGCACCCTGCAGGACTATCCATGTTGTATGAATTTGCCTTGTTGCATCATGTTGCTGGACTATTCATGTTGCTGGACTATAAACTACTTTGCATCAATTTGATACTACTAAACACTTTTTGTACAGACAAAAACTGCGAGTCCATGGTTGGGTTGTCACTATCTGTGGACAGTTCTCAATCACTCACTGCTGCCGAGTATATAAAGAGAAGAGGTAGCTCCATACTAATTCTTTATGCACATTTGATTCATTCTTCTTCCTTATTCTGCATCTTTCCTTCCTTGTAATTATACTATTTCATAATTTCTTGAAATTTTTGAACACTTGTACTGTACATTGAAGCCAAGGAGGCCGTTCGAGCAGAAGAAACTCCTTGTGGGGCTTGGTCTGTGACAAGGTTGTGCTCTGCTACCCATGGAACATTAAATATTCCGGGATTGAGTTTGGGAGATGGGCCTAAAGGAGGACTTGGGGAGCAAGGTGATGTTGTATATTGTCAACTCATTCTTACAAGAATTTCACTTGTTCAAAGGCGACTAGACAACTATGAAGCAAGCAAATGATGTTATATGTTGTAGGCTTCAGAAAGATGCCCAATATTAGAGCATGCCTCACTTGCATGCTTGTTAAATATGTTTTCCTTATGCATTGCTTTGCATAAATGGAATGAGATTAATCACAAATCCTGATTGTTCATTATTACTTGTTAAGGTGAATGCAAGGTCCAGTATACGTGCATAGGACCTTTTTTTTTTATCTTCATCTTCTGAGGGGCAGGAGAGGGTTGTCTTTTCTTAGCTCTATGAAATCCCAGGGAAAGATCAGAGATGCTCCAATGAAACTACTATAATCTATGAAATCCAAGGGATTCTCCCTAAAGCAGTAGCGTTGCAGTCTATGAAGCATGGGTGCGGGTACGGATACGGGTACGGGTACGATACGAGTATGCCGATATGGAAAATTCTTTAAAAAGTAGGGTATGGGTACAGTTGAGATGCGTTAATTTTGTATTTTTTTTTTTTCCAATTTGTAGCTAAACATCCAACATACAAATCAAAGTTAAAAAGAGAACAACTTTTCTAAAAAGTTATATAATTTTTTCTTTTTTTTTTTATTATCTAAAATAGGATGCAAAAGAGAGCAAAATCATGACTCATGGGTGAAGGGTGTTGGAAATAAATTACTTGATATTTTCAAAATTGAAAAAAGAATAACAAATGTCGCAACAAATTCTAGCAGCTGCAAAAAAAAAAAAAAAAATCACTTCGCCGTACCGATGCCGTACCCATGCCATACCCACGACGTATCCAAATGTATTTGCCGTATCCAGTATGCGTAAGGTAAGTACCCAGTACTTGTATGGCACCATTTTCGGAGTACCTGTGCTTCATAGATTGCAGTCCAAGGGTAGATGGATCTAACTATCATGTTAAGTTTTGAAGGTCTTTCTGTTAGGCATTGTCCTATTTCATGTTGATCGGATCTAGTGTCCTTTTCTAGAAGAAAGTGATGAGAAGAACCTCCAACAAAGGGTAATCGATGCTCGACGGATTCGGGAGTCCGGTTGTTGTTTCCAGTTTGTTCTTCCAAAACTGTTGGGAGTGCCAGCCCTTTTTCCTTTGTCTTCTCCGTCTGTGGGGTATGTGTTGAAGGCGGAATGTCCTCAATCCCCATCGCCGGAACTGAGTGCAGAGCTTAAAGATGAAGTGATCCACGTTTCACCGCACCAATTGTGCGTATCGGATTCCGCACTAGATGAAAGTGGATCGGGGCCCCGCACTCGATTGGACTTATCCAGGGACTGAGGTTCCTGCCACAAGATGCGCCGTTAGAGCTGCCCGGCCGGGGTTGGCTGGAAAACTCCTCCGGTGTGGGAATTAGTGATTGGAGCAGGAGTATATATAGAGTTGAGTTTATATCTAAGTATGATTTTGCTCAGAATAGTCCAGTTACCTTCAATGCGAAGTTCGTGTTGTATATATAGTGTTCCTTGCTTGCTTCTCAAGATGGTTTCATGGAGCTTGGATGCTGCCAAGTGTCCTTTTGGCATTGCTCAAGGTGGGGGACCACCTGATAGTTGTCATTGAATGTATATATTCATTGTAGTCATGTTGATAACTAACCACATTCCTTTGGTTCAACAACTTCCGTGATTCTAGGGGTGGGGGACCAGCTAAGGTGGCAACTTGCACATGCACACATTCACAACTTCCACGTTTCCCTGCGAGGTTTCCTCGGCTCGGTACCGTTGTGCCTCAACTCGGCATCATTATGCCTTGTCTCGGCCTTTCACAGGATCATTCATGGAGATGGGTTGACCCATTCGGATATCTTTGTATGGGCTCGGCCCATTTCTATTCGGCCCAAGGATTAGGTTCTGCAGTTCGGCCCAGCCCAACATCACGGCTGGATTAGCCTTCCCACTGCGGGTTGGGCCCAAGTGCTTGGGGACTTGGGCAGACCGTTGATTGAGGATTTTGGGCTCAATTGGCTTGCCCATATATTCATCTAATTCATTTGGATTTGGGGCTTTAATGGATTGGGCCGGCCCAAGGCTTGGATCCAACCCATTTCATATTCAGCCCCTTCAAATGTGGTTTTGCTAACATTGCGGCCACCTATGATTATTGTAGTCATACAAGGAAGACGATTATGGTGTACTATAAAAGAAACTTAGATGTAATTCTTTCAGTCAGGCAGTTGTAAAGATAAAGAAAATGCAACATTTTCTAGTTATTTTTGTGCCTTTAGACGTGAGATTTCTAATAGTATGCACTAATTGTTCTTTAGTTTTTAATACATAAGCCAATTCAAACTATATTACTTTGTCCCACTTTGGATCTTCAATCTTGGGTAACTTGTAAGATTGCAATTATGTCTTCAGTTCTTGTCTCTAGAATATTATCCACTTTAAAATTGCACATTGTTGTAGGAATGGGCATTAAATGCACTACTATTTGTTGATTATATTGTGAGGTTTAATTTTTTCCCTCATGTGATTTCATTATCTCAGGTAAAGTTGCAGTTTACTATATAAAAGGTGGTATCTTTGGAAATTGAGTAATTTCTTATTACCTATTAAAGAAGACATATTTTTGAGACATCCAAAACTGGAAATGTGGACTATAACTTAGGGACAGGGGGACTATACGTTTTTCTTATTTTGGTGTGTTGATGTCTTCTTATTTTTAATTGGAATTTGACATATTACAAAGAAATGAGTATTTACAAAACAATCATCTGTGGAGCTTTTTTGCAAATTATCATATAATTTAATTGAACACATCTCCAATGTAGTTCCTCCTCCGTTGCTGTCTCTATCTCAAATTTTTTAAAAAAATTCAGCCCCTTTTTTGATATTGAGCTATCCTTTCCATGTTCTCTTCGTTTGTACTGTGTTCAGCATCGCTATTGATTACCTCTCACTCTAAAGCATATCCAACTAGCAAGATGCATAAGTTACACAAGCTACTAAGTGCTTCTGATTAATAAAAGAAGTTTCACTTGATTTGGGCTACTGATTCTATTTTTCTGATATCTGACATTTCTCTGTAAAAAGTTGCCATTTATTCCCTAAAAGATTTTAGAATTTGTCCTACTCTACACCTCAAACAGATCCATTGCTTTCCATCCATACACATTTTGATGCAAGTTTGTGGGTGTGTGTATAATTACGGTATCACATTATCTTTTATTATGTATGATATTCACAAACTAAAAATGCCATTCCTTGGCCTTGGTCCCCAATAATCGAGGGTGTTGGGAGGGGTAGACTGGAAACATAACCTTTGGCATAACATGCACAAAGTGGCTGCTCTGAACTGGAACCTGAGTTCTAATGCTTGGAAGCTCGAGGATTTTACCAATGCATGAAGAAACAGTCCATGCATACTCACAAATAAAATTAAATGCAGATAGCGTGCATGAGCTTCTTCCAGTACATGTGTGCTTGGTCATGGGGTGGATGGGTAAAACCAGAAGGTTATATGAATCTTGTGTTTTGTGTGTTGATAGTACTGGTACATTTGGTGCCTTGTGTCTGGACAAAACAAACCCAGAACCAGTTGGACTTTTGCTCAAGGACATATGTTTATGATGTAGTTTTTGGTTGTTGCACTTGCATGATATTGACATTTATTGTTGCACATATGCAGGCTGTTATTGTCCGGCCCTTATCTACAGTAAACTCTCTTGTTCGATTTGCTGAGGAGCCTCAGATGTTTGCAATTGAATTTAATGATGGATGCCCCATTATTGTGAGGAATCTAACTTATTCTCAGTTTCTTACTTCATTTTTTTTGGTTGCCTAGTGTTCATTGTGTATGGTTTGGTTTTCAGGTTTATGGTAGCACGTCTCGCGAAAGCTTGCTTGCAGCAGTTTGAGATTTGTTGCAAACAGAAGTAGGTAGATGTGCCCACTCCCGGATAATATTTGATTTTTTCTTTCACTTGTGTGATTATATAGTTCATTAGATTTTTACATTATGATAATCAGTTGCTGCACCTTATGAGTTGTTTTGCTTATGGGTAAATTATGTGGTGATGTTTCATAGAATGAGATTCACTTCTGAATTAAACTTGTGTAGGGTCAATGTCCAATACCAGTACTTACAAGGTTAAAAATGCCTGGTCATCGAATTGATCCTCCTTGTGGAAGAGTTCATTTGCAAATTATGCAATTTTATGTTGGCCAGAGCCCTGTTGCTGACATGGAAACTGCAACTACACATTTAAAACACTTTGCAGCTGCTGCCAAGGATGTTGTGGCTGTGTTGGCTTTTGGCTTTCGAAAGTTATTTTTGTAATTGTGAGCATGCCAGTAAGGATCAATCAGTCCTTACAGAATATTAATTGCCAACCAATTATCAGACGATTGTGTTTTAGTTCTTTCAGCCTCAATGAAGAGGACTTTTACTGATGGCTTTGTTTAGGAGAATTAAACAAACAATGATTAAATGAAGAACAATTACAACATTTCATTAAGTAAAATGAAAGACTTACAAGATCCCAATCAGCCTCTTAGAGGTTTACAGTAACAAACTACTTGAAACTACTCATATGAACGAAGTGCAGTGTAGAAATTTGAAGTACAGAAATGTAAAGAACAAGAAATGTAAAAACTGGAAGGAAAAACAAAGTAGATAAAATTGATTTTTTTGGATCTGAGTTCGGGCACTTTCTGGAGCCTTCTCTACTATTTATAATTCTTAATGACAATCGTCGAATTGCATTTCTAACCGTCGAACCATCACTCCATGGTCGCTGATCATGCTGCCTTATAATTAGCTCCACTATGCCATATCTGTAGTTAGGCTTCCCTCCTGATTTTGAATTTAAATATGGGTAACTATTGAAGCCACGTCATCTTGCATTTCTTCGCTAATTCAGTGCTATGCAGATCTACAATAAACTAATGTTGACTGCCACGTGTGTGATTATGATTGAAGATTCGAATTGTCGTCCTCATCCTGCC